TGTGCATAATGAGACGATCATTTTGATACCCATCATGGACTTAAAGTAATAAAAAGTCGTTTAAATATGCCAATAAAATACTTTGTAGCATATCTCAGCAAATAATTAAATTAAAACTAATAAAACACATTTTGGGGATAGAAATGGGTGATAAATTAAAAAATAAACAAATAAATGAATAACTTTATATACTTCTCATTATTTATTTATCTATTTATTTATTTATTTATTTATTATTATTTATTTATTTATTTATTTATTTATTTATTTATTCATTCATTCAATCATTTATTTATTTATTTATTTATTTATTTATTTATTCTTTCATTCATTCTTAATTCAGTCTCTTTGTAGATTTATTTACATAAGAAAATAAATGAATATAATAGATTTTTACTTTATTTAATAATTTTTATGTATTAAATAAAAATTTATTTTATTAATGCATTTATATATCATTCCTTTCAATTAATTTTTTATTTATTTAATTCTTTGGGAAAACAAAATATCCCATGCATGGATTTGATAATGTATTCCGAATTGTTTAAATCTAGTTCTTTTACAAAGACAGTTATTACGCTCAAAGATGTTTCAAAGTAGATAAAATAAAAAATGAAAGAGTTTATAAGTATATATAAAAGGCTCATAAAGTACAATGTATATGCCGTCTACCATCACAAGATGAAATAAATTGGTAATTTATTTCTTCTTTAGAATCGATGCAATTCTCTGCTGTTCTTCACCCGAAATGCTCCTGAACCAAAAAAAAAAATCACATTGATACAAGTAATAGAAACTAAATAACAGGGGATTAAGTTAAGGTATTTAAAAATGTGTTAACTTTTTACTAAGTCTATATTTTAAAAAAATATACTTAAAGTTTTCAAGACTATATCATTTTCACTCTTAAATGCAACAAAAATATTTTTTAAACTCCTTTTCTTGGCCAAAATAAATGTCAGGGGACGACAGGGAGTAGACAGGGAAGGCAGGGCCAACGACAGGGGACGACAGGGACTGGACAGGGAGATCAGAGAATGTCAGGGGACGACAGGGAGTAGACAGGGTAGGCAGGGACAACGAAAGGGGACGACAGGGACTGGACAGGGAGAGCAGGGACAACGACAGGGGGATCATAGGAGAAAGTCAGGGAGAGACAGGAAAATGTCAGGGACTGACAGGGGGACAACAGGGGATTTTTTGGAATCTAAGGGGATATTTAATTCAGTAGTGCTACTGACAAAATGTGGAAATATTACAAAAACATTAGATATATATTTCTACATAACATTAGTAATATTTCTCCAAAACATTAGATATATACATCTACATACTGAGTATGTCCCCCCTGCATGGTCAGTATGGACTTTTTGAGGGCCATGCTTTCCTGTAGTTCCAGGGCACTAACCCCTGTCAGGGGCCAGCAATTTCCTGTCTCATCACAGACTTCCCAGAATCTGAGGATAATTATATATAATCTATATATATATACTAAAAAGTGTAGTAAATACTGGGTAATTAATGAGATGTTTCAACTTCCCATTGAGAATAAAAAACCCACTATATTTGTGATTATACGTTGAAAACTATTGAAAAGGCCAATTGAAATTTTATAAATTGTGCAAAGTCTTGCTACACATGCATGCATATTTATTTGATCAGAAGTCAATATCTGTTTTTAATTACTAAGGAATTACATCCCCTCTCCCCCCTTACAATGTATACAAGTCATGTACTAACAAATTCTCGGTGCAGACCCCTATAACTTTTTTAAGTATAATAAATGTTTCATCATTGATATAATGCACAAATGATTAATCGTTACCAATTAGTCCTTCCAAGTCAATGAGTGGAGATTCTCTACAAAGGAAAAAAAAACGGTAATAAATATCACCGATTACGAGAAATACCGGGTACATTAAATAAGGCAATTTTTTTTCTATGCCCCCTCCAAAATAAATGTCTTGAAAAGTATTATTTTTGAGATAAGGCTTCAAAAAAAAAAATCAACAGACACATCTCTCATACTTACGCAACATCAATGTCAAATCTTCCTTGATCTCCGTATTTGTAAACATTCCGTATTTGTAAACATTCAATTCATGTGCAGCTAATGATGAACGCCAGCATACCTGGTGTAAGGAGAAATTTAGAAAAAAATTATGTAATATCCATAAAAGATTATATCTAACTAGTCACTATAAAAAAGTGTAAACTAAATATAAATTGCCCCCCTCCTAATTTTTGATTGACATTTATATTTTATTGAACAATTTACAACACAGTGAAAAAAGAGTATTACATTTAATAATGCAAAATAATAAATGATAAAGACCACCCCCTTCCAGTTTTCCCTATTGCATGCATATTCCTTATAAATCAATTTAATTTTTAAGTTTTAACAAATAATATGATATACATGTAATATATAAATGCTGTTTGCTTGAATAGAGTAAAAGTATTTTGTATATGGAAAAAATTGTGAGGGTAATGCAATTTATTGACCTATTTACCTTTATTATACCCCCGCAAACGAAGTTTAGGGGGGTATATTGGAACCATCATGTCCGTCTGTCTGTCTAGCTGTCCGTCTGTCTGTAGACAAGATTTTGTCCGGACGGTTTCTCAGAAACTATTAAACGGATTTGATTGAAAATTTGTACACTTATTATTCACCATATGAAGGTGTGCACCTGGTATTTTCATCATGATTGGATGATTTTTCTGCATTTTACAGGTGGTTTTTCTTATTTATTTTATGGTTTTGTTTGGCGCATAACTAAGAAATTATTAGACTGACAATCATCAAACTTAGACAATTTATGCATCTTGGGTAGAAGGTGTGTCACAACCTATTTTAAGGTCACAATGACCTTTAATTTAAGTGAATTTTTAAAAAGATTAAAAGTTAAGTGAATTTTTAAAAAGAAACCTGTCTTTTACTATTGAATTACACAATCCCAAAAATGTAAGATTGTTTTTTTTTTATCCCTGTTTAAAAAATGCTAAATTACGAAAATAATATTTTTTCAGTATATACTTTACAGCAATCCATATCAAATGTTATTTTATAAGAGATAATCTATCTCTCCCAAGGGTATAATTATCAAGCACTGGTCAAGGAGAATTTTGATAATAGAAAATTGGATCCCTTGGCATAAATCAGTGGAACTGCATCCAGTCAAAGATTAATTAATGAGTTCATTGTAGGAAGCTAGCTGTCTCTATCATTTCTGTTGGCTGATATCTCTGATAGGTCCTTTGGGAATTAGACAGAAGAACTGCTGGTCAGTTTAAATAGCATATGCTAATTGATGGCCAGCCTTCTATTTCTAAAATCCATTTGTTATAGATTAAGTTTTTAATACTTATTAGTTAAATTGATATATTAAATTTTTTTTTAAAATATCAAGTGACAAATTTCAGAGCATCATGTCCCATATGAAAGATTTATGCATATATATGTGTGTGTTTGTGGGGGAGGGGCATTTGTCAAGCTATAATGCAACCATTTGATGATTATTTGTTATAATTAATGCTTACACCACAGGAGATGTTTAAACAAATATCAAAAGGAATAAAAAAAATTATGGAAATCCTTTTAAAGGTTGCCATGATATCCTCGCACCCTAAATGTTTTATATTAATTGAATGGACACTACGGGTGTTTGACGGGAGTATCGTGATGTGGTGGGGTTCTTTATTATTTTAAAATGAATTTCATACAATCTTGCATTGTATTCAATAGCACATTTGTCCCCAGCCAACAGACGTTTCCTACCTCCATTGCCAAAGAGTTCTGCTAAGTTAAGTAATCGCGATATCAAGTATTTAGTGTAGTGCAGTGTAATTTCTGCAACGTGACGCCAGAATCCATCATTCCTGCTGCCCAGCGTTCGTGCATACTCATTGACTTCTTCTTAGCGTCTTGTCACCAAATCTGGTCAGAAATACTAAAATTTTCTTGCATTCACTTTTCTTGCATTCACCCTCTTTGATATTTCTATGTTCCCATTGTTCCATTTACTTTTAAACACCACGCATTTTCCTAAGTAAAATGCCAAAAAACTCGCCAAATGCGTGTTGCTTAGGTGAAGACTCGTACTTATTTAAAAAAAAAATTTTAAAAACAAATTCACAAATGCTTAAGATTCAATCCAAAGTTTTTTTTTCAGTGCACCTGAATTTCAAAAGAATTCTTCAGTTTCTTGATGGCTTATCCCTCTTTCCATGTATGCAAGTTTTCACAGACAGGGGAATACATGCAACAAGCAATCTGAAAGGCTTGCATTAGAATACTTGTTGCTTTTAATTATCGGCAGTGTGTGTCCTGCTTCTGATTAAAAACGCCATATTTCCGAGAAAAAAAAACCTCACCGAAGCTGAACAAAATGCAAACTTTACCAGTAACTTATCAGGGTAGACTACATGTACCATACAAAAAATCAGCTCGATACCTGTCAGTGTTAATAAGATATTTTCAAATCATAATCCTCGAGGTATGGACCACAATTTAAATATATAGAAAAAATTCTTTCAAAAATCTTCTCAGGAACAGCAAAGCCATGATTGATCATATTTAATATATGGGAGCATCCCTACATGTACGTAGTGTATATTCATGCTTATTTTTTCAGATCAAGGCCCAAAGGGTAGGGTGGGCTTCGGGGCCACTCCTGTAGAACTTTCAGTCAATATTGAAACGACTTCTTTTTTTTGTTGCTAAAATGATAATCTTAGCGATGTGGCATCATCTTAATTTTTAAAAAACGCATGTGAATTACACTTAAATGTACCAGCAACAGAGCAATGACATACATTTACAAAATATTTTATTTATCACGAGTTTAAATCCACAATTTTTACTGCGTTTGGAATTCTTTAACGCTATGCAGTGAATAAAGCTATTAATGACTCCAACCAGAAAGTATAAATACCGGGCAGGTAGATATTGCACAGGTGAGCAGGTAATCCAATACATTGATTTGGACATCATTTAGTCGACAAGACAGACGCCATTAAAGTCAGGTAATAACTATGAAATGATTTCATTTGATAAATTTGATTTAATTTGATTACATACGAATTTCATACAAGACAAAATAAACTTCAAATATATATAATATAAAATATTTACATTCGCTGTGTTTTACTACTAAGCTAACTGTGAAACTGATTTTAAAACCATTTCATAGGCGTCGGAACCGGGGGGGCAAGGGGGGGGGGCCCCACTTTTTTTCCAAATATATACTTAGTTTAGACATTGAACATATCTACGTAGGTTTACCCCCCCCAACTTTCCACAGATAGGTCTTAGTGTAGGTTTAAAGTGCGGAAAGTGGTTGTGTTGGGAAAAGATTTTGGTACTGAAGTTCGAACCCCCCCCCCCCCCCCACCACCACGAAATAGGTATTTCGAGTTTGGGCAATTTTTTTTTTTTTTTTTTTTTGCGTGTCAGGTTTTTTTGAAGGTACAAACAAAATTTTCTTTACACTTAGCCCCCCCACTTTCATTTTGCTTCCGACGCCAATGCATTTTCGTGTATACTCACGCGTAGAAATATACACGGGGAAACGTGTTAACGTGACGTCACAATGAGACTGCAGCGACGTTAGAAAAATACAACGATATAGGGCAGCGAGAATTCAGATATTGAGTATATTTTAGTTTCTCCCAAACATGTAAAATGTAAATATAAGGAATGTTTTTAAGTTTTGTGTTAGTTATTGGTGTGAGAATCACACAGACTTGCACGTAGGCATATTTTTCATGAAGCGCTAGCGCGCTTCATGAAATATGCCTACATGACAAGTCTGTGTGTTTCAAACACCAATAACTCACATAAAACTTAAAAACATTCCTTATTTGAAGGAAAAATTTCGACATGTAAGATTGTTTAGAAGACAAGCGTACATTCTTATCCATCATAAGAATGTACCCCTTCCAAAAATAATGTTTTCAAGGTCATGGATATACATGTAAATAATGACTAAGGCAGCAAGACTGTCACTTGACAATACAGTATTTCAGTATCATTTGCTAAACATAATTTTAGAACATCGACTCAGTTTTATTATCTTCGTTCTCCTGGACTTGACTAAAGATAAATACAGGTGACTTGATAGCATATTGATTATGTACAGTCAATACATTGAGGTGCCATTAGTGTAATATTAGCATTAACAATGCAACCTTTTTCTACACTACAGGACTACTCTGATCATGGACCCTCGTACCAGTGCCCAGGACGTGATGCGATGTGACCTGTGTGAGACCGCTGTAGTACAGATGCACTGTGATTCATGTCTTGTCAACCTGTGTAAGGCTTGTGTGGGAGAACACATGGTATCTGATCAATCCAAAAAACATGAAGTTGTTCAATTCAAGCTTAGAAAATCTACGCTGCTCTTCCCTGTGTGTAAAATTCATGATAAAAAGGAAGACATTATTAAAGAAAAAAATGAGCTAAATGAGACAATTTATCCCACCTACCAGTACATTGCCTTTGATGTACAAAACAGAATGAGTCAGTTAGAAAAGAAATATGGAGATCTCTCAACAGCCATAACAAAACATGGAGAGGACTGGCACAGAGAAATTGACGAACTTGTCCAGAAACTTAAAGCTGAAGTTGAAAAAATGAAAAATACACAGTTACAAACTCTACAGAAACATCTGGATGAAATAAACAAAATCATTTCTGACATCAAGGATGAAATTGATTCACTTGATGTTGCTGTTAAATCTAATGACATGTCAAAAATATTTAAATCTACATTCAGTGTAGAGAGATATAGAAATCTTCCACAAAAAGTTCTGCCATCTTTACCTACATTCACGCCATGCAAAATCAAAGGACAACACCTTAGTAAAATATTTGGAACTGTATCATCGAGTTCTCCTACATCAGATAAATACGGCTACAGCATGAAGACAACAAAAAATTCACCAGAAGCTGGATCCTCTCCTCCAGTCAAACAGCTGCTTGATGAACCAGAGGCTGTCACCACCATAGACACTATGTATAGGTATTACCTTTACAATGTGTCCTGTCTGAGTAATGAAGAAATCTGGACAAGAGGAGGTGACAGCACCATGAAACTCTACAGCATCAATCAGGGATCACTACTCAAGTCAATCAGAACCAAGTCAGGGTACATACCATCTGACATAGCAGTGACAAAAAGTGGAGATCTAGTTTATACTGATATCAGTGATAGAACTGTGAACATTGTGAAGAATGAGAAGATAGAGGTGGTGATCAGACTACAGAACTGGAAACCCAGCGGTGTCTGTAGTACCCCCTCTGGTGACGTCCTGGTTATCATGTACAGTGACGATTACCCATACCAAACAAAAGTTGTCCGTTACTCTGGCTTTACAGAAAAACAAATCATTCAGTTTCATGATAAAGGTCAACCTCTCTATTCATCTGGTACCATAGCTGAGAACAGGAACCTAGATATCTGTGTGTCTGACTGGAAAGCTAATACAGTAGTGGTGGTCAATCAGGCCGGGAAACTAAGATTCAGATACACTGGACATACTCCTGGTCTCAAGAACGAAATATTCAGTCCACGAGGAATCACCACAAATAGTCAGAGTCACATCCTTACAGCTGATCATAACAATGACTGTGTCCACATCATAGACCAGGATGGACAGTTCCTCCGTTACATAAACTGTGGACTGAGTAGACCCTGGGGACTGTGTATAGATACAAATGACAATCTGTTTGTTGCTCAATGGAAAACAACAAAAGTGATGAAAATCACATTTCTGCAGTGAAATATCGTACTGTTCATCAGTGCAAATTATAAATGAGATTATGCTTCATTTTCTATATAATAGTTCAGTGACCATTGTTGTAAACTAAAAGTATATATTATGATATCATTTTCAAATATCGGGATACAAATACAGGTTGGTCAAAAGATCAATACAATTTGATTTATGTTTTGTTTAATACAATTTTATACTGGGGAAAAAACCTGAAATGGGACATTCTGTCATTTTTTTTAATCAGGAATAAAGACTTAATTAAAACCCTAAACTATAGTGTTGGAGAATATATACACAGGAAAGATATCCACGTGTATATGTTTGCTCATCATACTCAAATGAATAAGCAGTTAACTTAAACACCAGATATCTTGGATGCAGTAAATCGAAAACAAGAGGCCCAGGGGCCACAGCGCTCACCTGAGCACATCGGGCTTGAATTTATCCCCCCTCCAGGCGTTCATCATTTGAACAAATTAGAATCTACACTACCTGAGGATGATTCCATATAAATATCACTAATCATAGCTTTGAAGTACTTGAAAAGAAGATTTTAAAAGGTTTCCCTATATATCCCTATGTAAAACTTGGGTCGGCCATTTTGGCCCCACCCTAGCCCCGGGGGTCATGATTTGAACAAATTTGATTCTACACTACCTAAGGATGATTCCACATGAGTTTCATCTGTCATGGCCCAGTGGTTCTTGAGAAGAAGATTTTTAAAGATTTTTCCTATATATTCCTATGTAAAACTTGGGTCGGCCATTTTGGCCCCACCCTAGCCCCGGGGGTCATGATTTGAACAATCTTGAATCTACACTACCTTAGGATGATTCCACATGAGTTTCATCTTTCCTGGCCCAGTGGTTCTTGAGAAGAAGATTTTAAAAGATTTTTCCTATATATTTCTATGTAAAACTTGGGTCGGCCATTTTGGCCCCACCCTAGCCTTGGGGGTCATGATTTGAACAAACTTGAATCTACACTTCCTGAGGATGATTCCACATGAGTTTCATCTTTCCTGGCCCAGTGGTTCTTGAGAAGAAGATTTTTTAAAAATGCCATTAATTTTTCTCTAATTCATAATTATCTCCCCTTGGAAAAGGGTGTGGCCCTTCATTTGAACAAACTTGAATCCCCTTTACCCAAGGATGCTTTGTGGCAAGTTTGGTTGAAATTGGCCCAGCGGTTCTTGAGAAGAAGTCGAAAATGTGAAAAGTTTACGGACAGACAGACAGACAGACGGACAGACGGACGCCGGACAAAATGTGATCAGAAAAGCTCACTTGAGCCTTCGGCTCAGGTGAGCTAAAAATTGTAAAAGTAGCATATATAGGTACTATATCATTTTCAGCATGGTTATTTTTCATTCCATTTTTTTAAACGCAAGGTAAACAAAATTTCCAGCAAATTTACCTGGTCATTTAGTTGCATTTACGGGATCTTTATAACCTTATCCTCATGTGCAGCGTAAGATGTCCCGAGTCTACACGTTGCCATAGCAATTGATACCTCTGACAAATTCATTCAATACTTTTAGTCTGATTGTAGTTATAAAAATCTTTTGGAAAAATTGCAAATCTTGATTGTTTTTCTTATCTTTCAACCATTCATAGAGAGATAAACAATGTGTAATACATGCATTTTAGCTAGGTGTCAATTAACTACTAGTATTTTTATGATTGGCACTTCTTAATGAAAGAAGCAGGCTAGCCTATTCTGTAAAATATCAAATGAAATTGGTAGGGGTGTCACGGCAACATGTTAAGTAAGGACCCCTGACATCAGGGGGATAATATAACCCTTCCTCAGGGTCTGAATCCATGATCAAGGGAACATTAATTTCAGAATTGTGGCAAATTAAACAGTCTAGATACTCCACATGATTGCTTTAAGCCATAATAAATGTCAAAAATTAGGAAGATTTTCAAAGAACTTATTATGAGGATCCTTTGTGTCACATTGAAAGTAGCCCGTGGGGTCTCACTGGCGAAGACGGGAAAATACAATAATAGGAATATTAAAGAATGTCTCCCCTTTCTCAGAATACTAAAAGGTATCTCATACATGTATTACTACCTAGTATTTAAGATTTTTTTTTTTAAAAGTTACTCAATTTATCAGCACATGCGGCTGTCTGCATTACATATATGAACCAAGGCATGGTAAAAATATTAAATTCCATGCTTAAATAAAAACTGTAATAAAGATTCACAGTCTAAACATATTTTATTTTAAAAATACTTTTTACATTGACAAATTTAATGTTCTGATAAGAATGTACATGTATTAAATGTGTAGCAAATATAGAAAAAGCAGTCACAACTCCATTTCTGTCATATTCTTCAAAACTGTTACATTTCCATCTACAACAAGTATTCATATCTTGTAATCATATTATTCTGAAAAAAAATATATGACAAATATATAAAGATATATCAATAGATATGGCACTCTTTCCAATTTTTTTTGGATTTTCATTAAAAATTTTAGAAATTTAAGCTTATGACAAACCTCTAGGTAGATTAATTCTCATGTTTCTTCCATCTTTCTTATCCATAAAGTTTTGTGTGTGTTGAAGTCTGTCAGTTTGTCACCTTCCAGCCTAAACGTCCCCCTATTGAAAAAAATCACGAACCAATGAAATATCAATTCATTACCTCTCCTTTAATATTTGGATCCTCCGGCTAAAATAAGTACAAGTAAATCTACCGAAAAAAATGTCGAAATATTACTGAAACATTAGATATATATTTCTACGTAACATTAGAAATATTTTCTACAAAACATTAGATATATACATCTACGTACTGAGTATGTCCCTCCTGCATGGTCAGTATGGTCTTTTTGAGGGCCACGCTGTCCTGTAGTTCCAGGGCACTAACCCCCGTCAGGGGCCAGCAATTTCCTGTCTCATCACAAATCTCCCACCGCGGGGACCCGGAATCTGAGGATAATTATATATAATCAATATTTATACTAAAAAAGTGTAGTAAATACGGGGTATAATTAATGAGATGTTTCAACTTCCCATTGAGAATGTAAAACCCACTATATATGTGATTACACATTGAAAACTATTGAAAAGACCAATTGAAATTTTATAAATTGTGCAAAGTCTTGCTACACGTGCATGTATATTTATTTGATACAATCAAAAGTCAATATCTGTTTTTAGTTAAGGAATTACACCCACCTCTACCCCTTACAATATATACTACCAAATTTTCTGTCTAGGCCCCTATAACTTTTTAAGTCCTTCTCTTAAGTACATGTATAATAAATAATGTTTCATCATTGATATAATGTACAAATGATTGTTACCAATTACAATGTAGTCCTTCCAAGTCAATGAGTGGAGATTCTCTACAAAGAGAAAAAAAGATAATAAAGGTATCACCTATTCCTAGAAATATAAATAAGACAATTTTTATGGCCCTCTCCCAAATATATGAAAAGTATTATTTTTGAAAAAAGGCTTCAAAATAATCAAAACACACATCTCTCAAACTTACGCAACATCAATGTCGAATCTTTCTTGATCTCCATATCTGTAAACATTCCATTCATGAGCAGCTGAAGGTGAACGCCAGCATACCTGTTGTAAGGATAAATTTAGAGAAAAATTAATGTCATTAATGAAAGATAAAATCTAACTAGTCGCTATAAAAAGGGTAAACTAAATGTTAAATTCCAAAAAAATTCTGATAATCATTTAATAATTTATTGAACAATTATCAACACAATAAAAAAAAGAGTACTAGTAACATATGATAGTAACATTTGTAGAGAGGGCTTATATAGGCTATGCCTGCTGCCTAATCCGTTTATGTAATTCTTACATAATAAAATATGTTCAAATCAAATCTAATACTACAAAATAATAAATGATAAAGAACCCCCCCCCCCCCCCCAGTTTTCACTATTACATAGTCCTTGTAATTCAATTTTAATCTGACAAGTTTTAACAAACATTATGATATTACAGAAATGTTGTTTGTTTGAATATAATAGTACAAGTAGTATTTTGTATATGGAAAAAAATTGTGAAGGTAATTACTGCAATTTATCTACCTAACTTTCAATTTGATTTTTTTTTTTGCAAAAAACAACAATAATAATAATAATGATAATAATAATAATAAAAACAGGTTAAACTTGCACTAACACACACATGTACAGTAAATAGCATTATGATTCAAGATTTTTTTTTGGAATATTTCTCCATCTGATCAATCATGGTAGGAAGCACATTGCAGTTTTGACTGGTAGACAGGGAATGCTTACTCCTCCATTGCACCTGATCACAACCCTGATGTTTTTGTAACTCCGTAGTTGCTTTGCTACAACTCTGTGTGGTTTCAATGAACTTTTTAGCGTGTTTACTGTTCATTATACCCCCCGCTTGAAAAGTGGGAGGGTATATAGTAATCGGGATTTACGTCTGTCCGTCCGTCTGTCCAGCTGTACGTCCGTCCGTCTGTTACGCTTTATCTCTTATCCTCAACTCCTCTTATAATTCTTTGAATGTCGTACCGACAAATCATCTCTGCACAGTGGTTAATTTTCACATACCTTGACTAGTTGTCCTCCATCTTTGTTGATGATGACGATCCCTATTTCATCTGGACCACCATCTTGGTCGTCATTATTCCAATGTCTGCCTGCAAAAAAGTGTTTTAAAATTATAAAACTATCACTGCATGATCAAAATCATAAACCTACATAATTTACATCATTCTCATTCTAAAATTGGTTATTACACCCAATCCAAATACATATAAAGAAAGTAAGGTAAAATTGGAACTATGAAATTGTTATATTCAATGGTTAGTTTGAAGTTTCTATGCCATAAAAACATTGAACAATGGCCTCTTGTTTACCTCTACTGACCAGTGTTCCTACAAGTAGAGCTGCATAGCCCACGTCTGGGGAGAACAGTAGGTTCTCCTGGTCAAAGGTCCAGCGGTAATATTCCTTTTCTCCAGATTCCAAAACAACAAGGACATACTGGGTCTCTGTAGGAAACAAGCAAAATAGGGGGACTATAGATATTTCATCAAAATTTGATTTAGTCTACCACAGAAAATTATGTAAGGAATCATTGTTTAGTTTGTATGGTATGCCATGGCATCAATGATAAATATGTACATTTAATTTGAAACATGGGATAAAAAACATGCTGAAATTTATGCTGACACAAGATAGAGAAATTTTTTAATCTATTTAAGATTGCAAAAGAAGACCTAAGTCAAAATTAAGAGTGTACGAAACATTTACTTGTTGTGAACTTGACAATCATTGAATCAATTTACATGTTTTTTTTATTTGAGGTCTGATATTTGTTCTTATCAACGTCATTTTTTTTCTACAAATTAATTCTATGTTTAGCCAAACTTAAGCATACTACCAGTTAGTATTATACATAATCTCAATATCTCTGAGCCTTATAAATATAATCCACCAATACTATGTGATAAGTAAAAGACTCGATCACCCGTGGGTAAACGACGGATGGATGGATCTATAATCTTTCCCTTAGCTCAGAATCTTCCTTTTTGAACCTCTATTACCCGGCATGCCCCCGTGTTCCCACTTCCTATACAGAGCTGTTTGTCAGTGATGACGCCGTCCCAGCTGGAGTTACACGTCATAGCAGAGGTTATAGGAATGCGTAGATGTCGTAGTACAACATTGTCACCAGTTCCTTCAACATAAAGACGTAAAATACAATGAATAACACAAATTCCTAAGTAAGTGCTGCTATAACTTGATTTTTTACAATCAATTTCTGACCTGAGTATACCCCCAGCCACTGATGTAGCAATGGTCTGTGTCTGTAAATACGTCATATTTCTGATGCAGGCAGGCCGTTCTGACGATATATTCGGTCAGATTAACTGGTTGTGCGAGCTGGACTAAAGCTATGTCATTAAGGAGACCGTGTTCAGGGGAGTAGTTGGGGTGCTAAAAGTTAAAGAAAAACATTTCCAACACGTCTTGATAATGACAAGGTCTAATGACACTTTCTTTATGTGAAATGTAGACATAATTGTACTTTTATGGTTTTGTTTTTCGTTTCTTATTCTTAGATTTCCCAAATTGAAACGAAAAACAAGATTTTATCTAAATAAAAAAACAATGATATTTACACAACAATCAATTCTTACTATGAGCACTTTTTGGATCGTTGTATTCCGCTCGTTGTTCGAAGTGTATTCTTGATGATGTTCGCCAAAAAGCAAATTAATTCCGTCAGTAGATTGTCTGTCAAAGAATTCAGTTTAAAACAAATAGCTTGTCAATAGATTAGGAAACATTTGGTCATTAGAAATATATATTGCTTGTAACCATTTCGAAATTTGAAGGTTTTCAACTTATATAATCAGGTTGCACTTCGAACACCCCTGGCTTACCCATAGAGACAGTGAGCGGCGGTAACAACCCATTGGTCTGACACTAGAGTCCCTCCACAGAAATGACCGCTGTCATTCTGAAGACTGACCTGCCAAGGCCACTCACCATCCAAAGCCACCACTCTTAGGCGTGGATCTACATGACGTGTCTGTACACTTGTTATTAGACCGCACTTGTCTTACCTTAATACAAATGGATAGGTATTTAAAAACAATCAAGTACAGTAAAGGTAGGCTCCACTCCAACTTTAAAAAGTAAGCATAAACTCCATAAATATACACGTAGTGTAAGACACTTTCATAACTCGTAAGATACACCGTGAAAATAAATTTATTATTTTTCCATTTTAATGCCATTCCAATCTGGTTTTAATCAGATGATGTACTATATTTAGTTACATCTTGCGCATTAAGTGGTAAGAGAAGTTAACCTGGATGTGCTGGTTCGGGATTGACAGTAGATGGCGATGGTTTGCAGCAGACATTCTCTCTACATCCTAAAGCATAATGGTCTACGTAACCATCACAATGGATATTTGACCGAATGCACGATCCGCCTCTTGTCGTGCACGTGTCGACTCTTGCTTGGGGCTTTCCTAAATACAAAAGGTTCCAGTCTAAGCATCGCTATGTACACCAAATTTTAAAAATCAAACACTGAAGTCAACATTGAACATTACCGACAATGGGTCCCACATTTATAGATGCTAGAACAAAAAGGAAAGACCAAATCATATTTTCAAGTTAAGCCGATAATACCGGAACTCAAATCTGTCTTAATCTCCAGATCCTCCTTAAAGTGGAACTGTCCTTGTCATCAGAGAAATGGTAAAATAGTACTGGAGACATCTTTCTACACAAGTGCTGTAGTTATCTACAATTCCGCAAAAACAAAATGCCACCCTTGCTTAACAAACCATCAGTCGATTGATTGTTTATCCCTTTTCCATATTTGTTGAAATTTTCCCGACCCCTGAGTACTTAAAATTGTTGTGATAAACAAATTCAATGTTGTTGTATACCGTTCTTTATACTGACACCAGATTTTTTTACACTGAAATGTGAATCCTTAATTTAATTCACTTGAGTATGTTAAAATATACTGTGCAAAAAGTTAACGATCATCGAATTAAATATGTTTTACATTGACTTTATCACAGAAAGCAGAATGCAGTTTTAATTTCAGTATCATATTTTATATTCAAATAAAAAGTTTGAAAATTAAACATTAAATGCGATAAGTATGTTTGAATATACACTACTAATTCATAACGGTTACTTTAAAATTCGCCATGTTGGATGCAGACCTGAAAATAACAGCTTTATTCAGAAAATTCAAATGATGTCGGTAAAATGTTTGCAGCAATTTGTATCCCAGTGACATCCTCGCGAGGCAGTAACAGTCCTACAGCGCGTCATTCACATAGGCGTCGGAACCGGGGGGGCTGGGGGGGGGGGGGGGTTGCCCCCCCCCCCCCCCTCACTTTTTTTCCAAATACATACTTACTATAGTATAGACATTTCCTTTTTTTTTTGCTTGTCAGGTTTTTGAAGGTAAAAAAAATATTTTTAGTACACTTAGCCCCCCCCCCCACTTTCAATTTGCTTCCGACGCCAATGATTCATGCTGCCGAATCAACTGAACAAGGCTATAGTCCGAGGGATCTGTTACCATTCCTCCTGCAAATCTGCCTAAAGCTCTTGTCAATTTTAGGCATCGTTACATAAGCTGAAATGCAGTGCTAAAGATTGTCCCATGCATGTTCAGTTTGGTTCAGGTTTGGAACACGACTTATGATCCATGAGGTCGAGCATTATCATCCATAAGTCCCTCCAATAGGTCTCCCGGTATTTCAAACATGTCAGATAGCCTTCAATAATGTGCAGATCAGTTTTGTTAAACCTGTCCAAATCATCACTGAACCTCCATGTAATCTGTCTTGCTTAGAAATGAAACAATCAGCATATGATCCCTCCCACCTTTGCTCTTCTGCCATCATGGAAGTCGAAACAAATTTGCGACTCGTCTGAGCAGAGAAGAATGATGCCACCTTGCAACATTGACCAAATAACGACCCTCAATTTAAATACATAGAAAAAAATTCTTTCAAAATATTTTTCAGGAACAGCAAAGCCATGATTGATCATATTTGACATATAGGAGCATCTCTACAGAAGAGAACAGAACATTTTATTTCTGATTTAGAGCCCATAACAGACAAGTATGAGATTATTACAATAATAAGGAAAAGATAAGCCAATGAATATCAAAACAATTATACAATTAGTAATTGACATAAATTAATAGATTCATGCTTATTTTTTCAGATCAAGACCCAGCAGGGGTAGGGTGGGCTTCGGGGCCACTGCTGTAAAACTTTCAGGCAATACTGAAATGAATCTCTTTTCTTGCTAAAATGGTTATTTTAGCGATGTGGCATCTTGTTAATTTTTAAAAACGCATTTGAATTAAACTTAAATGTACCAGCAACAGAGCAATGGCATACATTTACAAAATCTTTTATTTATCACGAGTTGAAATCCACAATTTTTACTGCGTTTGGAAATATTTAACGCTAGGCAGTGTATAAAACTAATAATTTAACTAGTGCTAATTGTAACGGGAACCGTTACAGATGTTCCCCAAACGCTCCCCAACTCCCTTTTGGTGCCATATTCCATGTAAGCTTCATTAAATAAGACAAACTCTGTGCATTACGTTTTCCCAAAAGGATACCAATTATATTCAAATTTTAGCATTGCACCCAAGCGCATATGAATGCATGTGCGTTATAACCATATCATCTTGTCTACATTACTATATATTTTAATAACTGTACATTAAAGCATTCAGTCCAAAAGTAATAAAAAATCACTCATTCAAGTGTATTTTCAATTATACTCGTTCCAAATGCACGCACGTGCGTGCAGGTGCATGATGACCATACCTTCTTATAGGTGTCCCTTACATCTATCTATGTTCTAAATCCCATCCGGTTTGGTTGAAAAACAAGGGAGTTATAGCCATTTCAAGTTTCAGCCAATCAGATTGCAGCACACGTGCATGCGCGTGATTTCATGATTTTTTTCTACACCATATTGTAGGATATCCTTATGCATGGCAATATTTTAAATTTCAAAGAATTTCGTCAAAAAACAAAGGAGATATAGCCATTTAAAGTTTCAGCCAATCATATTGCAGCACGCGCACATGCGCATGCTTTCATGAAAATTCTTTTATATCATGCTGTAGATCTTCATAATGTAGGACTATGTTCAAAATTTCAAAGGATTATGACGAGAAACAAGAAAGATATTGAGACTTTAGTTTCAGCCAATCAGAGCAAAGCGCACGTGCATGCGCGTGAGATCTTGCTATTTTGACCATGCTATCTTGTCTATACTTTTAATGTATCCTTACATTATGAGTTTCAAAAAAATTCATAAAAAAATAGAAAAGTTACGGCAATATCCATTATATTAGTCATTTCACGTGTTGCACGTGCACGCTCTTGCAAGCACGTGCGCGCAAAATGGCCTTGATTCCGCAAATCTACATAACATGTCTACTGACCCTATAAAGGTTTTACCTACATCGGACGAAAAGTTAACAAGATCACTCCCGGACAAAAAAGTACCCAGGAAGAAGAAGAAGAAGAAGAAGAAAAATAATAACTAGTGCTAATTGTAACGGGGACCGTTACAGATGTTCCCCAAACGCTCCCCAACTCCCTTTTCGTGCCATATTCCCTGTAAGCTTTATTAAATAAGACAAACTCTATGCATTTGAGACTTTAACAACGTTTACCCAGAAGTGTACCAAGTTCATTCAAATTTGGTGTGCGCATGTGAATGCATGTGCGTAATGACCATATCATCTTGGCTACACAATCTATATATTTTTATATACTAAATATTAAAGCATTTAATCCAAAAGTATGAAAAAGATACGCTCATTCAAGTGGTTTTTTTTATTTTGCTTATTTCACGTGCACGCACGTGCATACATGAGCATGGTGACCATATCTTCTTGTAGATGTCCGTTACATCTATCTATGTTCTAAATCCCACCCCGTTTGGCTGAAATCCAAGAGAGTTATAGCTGTTTCAAGTTTCAGCCAATCAGATTGCAGCACACGTACATGCACGTGTATGCATGTGCATGTTGACCATATTTTCTTGTAGTAGTCCAGTATATCTATCTATGTTCCAAATCCCATCCTGTTTGGTTGAAAATCAATGGAGTTATAGCTATTTAAAGTTTAAGCCAATCAGATTGCAGCGCACGTGCATGCACGTGTTTTCATGATAATTGCTATATATCTTGTTGTAGGATATCCTAATGCATGGCTATTTTCAAAATTTCAAAGGATTTCGTCAAAAAATAAGAAAGATATTGAGACTTAAGTTTCAGCCAATCAGAGCAAAGCGCACGTGCATGCGCGTGAGATCCTGCTATTTTGACCATGTCATATTGTCTATGCTTCTAATATATCCTTATATTATAAGTTTCAAAGCATTTCATCAAAAATTTAAAAAGTTACGCCTATATCAATTAAATCGGTCATTTCACATGTTGCACGTGCACGCTCTTGCAAGCACGTGCGCGCAAAATGACCTTCGTTCCGCAAATCTACATAACATGTCTACTGACCCTAAAAACATTTCACCTTAGTCGGATGTATAGTTTACGAGATCATTCCCGGACAAAAAAGTACCCAGGAAGAAGAAGAAAAATAATAATAATAATAAGAAACAGAGTAAAAACAATATGTTCCCCAACTTCGTTTGGGGAACATAATAACTAGTGCTAATTGTAACGGGGACCGTTACAGATGTTCCCCAAACGCTCCCCAACTCCCTTTTGGTGCCATATCCCTTGTAAGCTTCATTAAATAAGACAAACGTTATGCATTTGAGACTTTAACAAAATTTTCACAGAAGTGTACCAAGTTCATTCAAATTTTAGCATTGCACGCGTCCGCGTGTGAATGCATGCGCGTAATGACCATATCATATTGTCTACAGAATCTATATATTTTAATATACTAAATATTAAAGTATTTAATCCAAAAGTATTAAAAAATACGCTCATTCAAGTGTATTTTTTATTTTACTCATTTCACGTGCACGCACGTGCATACATGAGCATGGTGACTATACCTTCTTGTAGAAGTCCATTACATCTATCTATATTCTAAATCCCACCCCGTTTGCTTGAAAACCAAGGGAGTTAATTATAGCTGTTTAAAGTTTCAGCCAATCAGATTGCAGCACATGTACACGCACGTGTATGCATGTGCTTGGTGACCATACCTTCTTGTAGAGGTCCATTATATCTATCTATGTTCCAAATCCCATCCTGTTTGGTTGAAAATCAAGGGAGTTATAGCTATTTAAAGTTTAAGCCAATCAGGTTGCAGCGCACGTGCATGCACGTGTTTTCATGATATTTGCTATATATCACGTTGTAGGTTATCCTAATGTATGGTTATGTTCCAAATTTCAAGGGATTTCGTCAAAAAACAAGAAAGATATAGAGACTTTAGTTTCAGCCAATCAGAGCGAAGTGCACGTGCATGCGCGTGAGATCTTGCGATTTTGACCATGTCATATTGTCTATGCTACTAATATATCCTTATATTATGAGTTTCAAAGCATTTCATCAAAAATGTAAAAAGTTACGCCTATATCAATTAAATCGGTCATTTCACATGTTGCACGTGCACGCTCTTGCAAGCACGTGCGCGCAAAATGACCTTCGTTCCGCAAATCTACATAACATGCCTACTAACCCTAAAAAGGTTTTACCTAAGTCGGATGTGTAGTTTACAAGATCACTCCCGGACAAATAAGTACCCAGGAAGAAGAAAAATAATAATAATAACTAGATACGATCTCGTTGCGAGCAACGAGTGGGTCTTCCGTCCGATTCTTGATAAGATGAGATAAGATTTTGATTGAGAATTTTATTCTAAAATAATGATAAAGATTGTGAAGAAGAACGATTTTGCCTCCATAATCTGTAAACAAACATTGAACATAAAGACTCAAAAATTCGACTTTTGGCCCCTCAGGTGATCAGTCCTTTTTTCTTCATATCATCTTTAACCTCTCAGGATTTTGAACACTTTTTGTTCAAAAACTATTCAGAGATTCTTTTTCGTTTTCCAGTTATTTGAAAAAGAAATATTTAGGGGCCAACCCTTCAACTCCTTAATGGGGACATTTAGCGAAAAATGAAAGGTTGCATATTATTCAGAACATTATTTTGAACACCTTTTGTTCAATACT